GTGACGGTTGTTAATTAGTTGCCACACATGGCCTATCGTAGGAGATCCAAACTTCAAACTTACCTCATGAAGGCTCTCATCTGTCGCCACGTGATCGCTGGGAAATTGCCATTTTCCGTTGCTGCCTCTGACGACAAGGTATAACGTCTTGTCAAGCGCTCGGTCTAGCCGTCTAACATCATTGGTCTTGTCCGCCTCCGTGATCCTGTCCATCGGCCGTTCGATAGGCACGACCTCATCTGGTTTTGCTTTCTCTCCATCTTCTGTCACTCGGTTCTCGGCATCCTTCAGCAGGATTTCCCGTACTCGCTCCTCATTACTCAGGGTACTTCCGACTAGCAGTTCATCGTTCCACGCGTTACGTCCCTGGGAATAGTATCTTCCCAGTTCCTTTGCTGCGATTTTGCCTCTTTCCTCGAACTTGATTCGCCAGTCGAGGTCAGATGCTGTGTCTTTTTTGAAGTAGAATGTATGGCGGAAAGGGAGGACCAATCGCTCATTCAAACGCTTTTGGTAAAAGAAGAAGGAGTTTTCGAAGGGTGTTAGTGCGCGCGTGATTAGGGGTGCTCGACTGAGGATGATGCCGCTTTTTATACGATATTCGGATTTGCGAGATGCTGTGAAGGGTGGGTGTGGTGTCGACTCGGTCGGTTTGAGGTGGTGAGCTTCGGCTGTGGTTGCTGCATCTACAGCCGCAGAGTATGAACGAAATTGGGAGCTCCTACAGCTGGCGCATACATTGGCTTGCGCTGAAAGGGGTCAGTAAGGACTATAGACCAAATAGGCTCCGTAAAGACTCACCTCGCAATAAGCCAGCAGCGATGTTGCCGCCTCTACTGGGGGCTGGCATTATATGTAGCTGTAGCTGCGCTTTTCTCCTTGTGTCAGGGGAGGGACACGGCGACGGCAGTAATCACTCGTCTTGGAGAATCGCGGGTCTTGGTCTGATGTAGCAAGTCGCGCCTCCAAATGGTCTCTGAACTTTTTTTCGGAACATCCCTGGTCTGGGTCGTCTGGACGGGAATGGGGTGGCACCAGCCACATTGTCAAGCCACAGACCTCACGAGCCCATGTCAAACCACCGATGAAACGACGTGGCTGGTGCGGGACAGGCTAAAGTGGCTTAATGGCACGGTGGTACCTTATCAGAGAACCGGACAGAGAGACTGGGGGACCTTGAAGGACCTGCAGCTTCCAATGGATAGGTGTGGATCGACAAGCACCATCTTCCGTCATTCTTCTGGGGAAACCCTCCCAACATTCTATTTCCAGAGAGTTTCAACTTCACCTGTGCTACCTCCGACACCAACATGCTATATCGACCGGTCGCCCCTACATATGCACGCGCAGCTCCTACCTAGTATAGTCCGGTCATTACCTCTGCCTCCGAATGAATTTCCCTCGCGGTCTTGACGCTTTTCCCTAGGCTACCACACGCCGTCAGACAATGCGATCTGCCGATTGCGACGACGACTTCTGTAGCGCACCGGGCCTGGCCGGCCCCTCAGTGCTGTCGACCACGATCTCGCTGGCCCCTTTCATCGCCACCTTCATTGGCGTTTCTATATTCGTCCTGCGCAAGATCTTTCCTCAATTGGCTCGCATCCAAAGCTCCCGCGACGGCGAAGACCATTTCCTACCATCCGATGCCCCACTCTCTCTACAGCAGGTCCACGCCGAGCATGGCGCCAAATCTCTCCAGCGACGAGTCGCGGCAGCAGCATTTTCAACAACAGTTGGACTTGCAACCGTGTTGGCGGAGCTGATATTGTGTGAAATCTCCGAGCTCGTCAGCCCCCACGCTCGCGCCACGGCCCTACGATTTACCGTTCCAACCCTCCTATTCCTGCTCGTGGTCCTCATTCCGTTTCTCGAATTACAGTCGCTTGTATCTGGCTCGGGATGGTCGTTTCAGCGAACTTCTAGAGGCCGCTGGCCACGAGCCGCCTGGATTCTACAGTTTTCCATGTTCGGCATTTGGCTATTTCTGTTCTGGTCCCTTGGAAATTTGGTCCCCGTAGGAGGGGAAGTCATGCATTCAAGTACACAGATGAAGACTTATGCAGCTGAGGCCCCTTCAAGCACTCTAGCGCGTGCCTGTCTAGAACGTATAGGAGTTATTGGCATCTCGCTCATGGCACTTCTCTCGGGATTCGCGTCCGTATCTTCGCCATGGCATACCTTCCTCAGTAAAGCGTCCCGCCGACCGGTTACGGATTCGGATATTGCACGTAAACAGGCGGGACTAGATGCCACCAACGAGATGTTGATTACGAAGCGACATCACCTTCAGGCTTTGCAGAACAAGATTGCCAGAACCTCATCTACCGATAATTCGGGATTTATGGGGAAGATGATTGGGTCCATTCGCGGGAACGGGGATCAGGCCGAAGTTCGCAATCTGCGTTTGGAAATCGCAGGACTGGAAGCTATGGAAGCGAACCTGTCTTCGTCTTTGACCTCACTCCGTTCCCGGCAAGCCGATTCTGCCCGCGCATCAACGGCAGTGGGTAAAGTATTACTAGTACCGACATACATCTTCTCGGTGTATTGCGTCTACCGAATCATAGCCACTACTTTGACAACTTTCCGGCGCGTGTATTATCCGAATTCGTCTTTCTCATCGTCCGATCCCATCAATCGCTTCCTAGGTCTCCTTGCCAAGCACTGGGATCCAAAGTTAGATCAAATCGCTTGGGCAAGACAGATCTCGTTCTTGTTGTCAGGTGTCATCCTTGCTGCCAGTGCGAACAGCGCGTTGCAAACCTTTCAGATCTTCGCCAAGTGGACACCAGGACTCCTGTATCAAGCGCAAGCCAACTTGGCGCTACTGATCGGGCAGATTAGTGCAATATACGTAATCTCAGCAGCGCTTTTGCTGCGAAGCAATCTGCCTAAAGAGGTGGGCAGCGCTGTGGGCGATGCTCTTGAGAGTGCGCTGGAGCCTGGCTTCGTAGACAGGTGGTTTGAAGGCTGGTTCTTGCTAGCAAGTGTGGTCACAGCGGGTGGCATATGGCTGGGCCGTAAGATCGGCGAATGGGGTGAGGACTGGGATGATATAGGGATGGAAGAAATGGGCCAGAAACGATCATGAGAAGTTAGGATAACATGCCACCAAAATTAGAAAACCAGAAAAATCGGACTCGGATTAATATGCGTTGAGACAAGCCAGGCATCATCCTGGCCGTCGAATTTCAGACAGTTCGCATCGAGGTCTCAGTCTGTTGGTCCCATTAGCCCTGTGAATATCAAGGCACAGACTGTCCTCACTATATTCTGTCAACTCTCGTGGAATGGCGACTCAATAATTATCAACAGAGCCCTGCGACTAAACGGCAGCCCTTCTGTCCTATGTGCCTCAAATCGCCAGTGACTGTGGGTAAAAGCCTGGAGCCGGAAACTACGGGGGATGCACAGTCTCACTTGTGTGGGTATGTTCTTACTTCAATACACATATTTGAGGCATTCAATCATGTATCGAGGTAGTCTCTCAGCCTGCTCTTGTTAAGGCGATCATTTTGGATGTACGAGTTTTCCGCCATCTTTGGGGAGATTTGCGGGACTGGTATATGGCAGTCCAGGTTTGTAGAGGGAAATCCGGCCGAAAGAGCCTTGCCGTGATTACATATATGCACTGTATTTATCTACATACCTCACTTCACCTGGGTCCCGAGAAGGAAGCAAGGGACAACTCAGGCGTATGTTCTCATCATGTATCACGATACCAAATTGAGCCGCACGGTACATGGATGCCTCGCCAGGCGGATGAAAGGCTGGAGGTTAAGTGTGATCGTAAACAGGAATCCGGAGACGTTCAATGTCACCTCGAAACGCTTTGTAAGCGAAATGCACATTCGACCATGCTCCCACGCTTCCAGATCTAGATTGGTGAACGCCCACCGCTTCTCATGACGCCCTCATTGGCAGTGCTCAAGGAACTATTTGCCGCAAGGCTCTTTTGTGACGGAAGTGGGCAAATCGAGAAGGCATGCTAATTCATGCCCGGCGATGCGAGATTTGGATGCCTTACCATGCCGCCGCCTAGTTCAAGTCAGTCGCCACCTGCCTCGCTGGATGAAAACGGTATCGCAAGGACACCAAGAAAGATGTAGAGATAAAGATTCATAAGGAGGGGAAGAGCAATAGCTGCTTCTTCGCTACCATTGAAGAAACCAATCGCCTTGCCATGTACATTGCGATACCAGCCTGAATTACTTAAATGAACAACATATGTCAGGGATGATTCCCTCCCTTGATTCGTACCTGTGCTTCACAACAGTCATCATGCTTGTCAGGTGGACTAGCTTCTCATGTGAGTGACGAAGTGCAAGCACCCGGTCACCCGCGTTGGGCACAAGAGGTAGCCGGGGTTCGAACGAACCGTGAGCCTGCTGCAGACGCATCACACAACTCAAGAGTGTAGAATCCCTTGACATGGGGAACATCTATGAATCGCCAGCCTGGTATTGGGTAATTCATAGGATGTGACCAACCTGATCTAAGTCGGCATGGTTGACTTGTAGATGAGGGTGGGAGATTGACTGCCTGGCCTTGCTTCATGCATGTCAAATGGCATTGATAGGTAGCTACCTCATATGTGGTAGATAAGGAAGGCTATGGCTCTGATTCCAGTTGAGTCCGTGTCGTGGCGCTTGACAGCCCGGGCAAGCAATGGTCACTTAGAGGCACGCCAGCCTGCGCCTAAGTTGTCAACTCTATAGGCTTAGGTGGAAGTAAGGAGCTCAATTACGCCTGATTTGAGTGCATAAAGTGCATATACACCAGATGTGATGATTTGGAGCAATGGAAATGAAGTGGTGCATATCAGTGGTAGGTAATTCTGTGGTAGGTAATTCTGTGGTAGGTAATTCTGTGGTAGGTAATTCTGTGGTAGGTAATTCTGTGGTAGGTAATTCTGAGCATTTTGATGTGACGGCAAGAAACTGCTGCCGCAGATTTGGAATATAATGATGAAAAGTGGACTGCTTATCCATTGATTAGACACTTTGGCCGAGTGGTTAAGGCGTTGGCCTGCTAAGAGTAATCCTAGCATAGTTAGCCAATGGGTTCGCCCGCGTGAGTTCGAATCTCATAGGTGTCGTATACATCTTTTTTATATTTCCTCCCAGCAAGTCTTTAAGGAAAGACTATTTTCTTTTTGCGAATTTTCCACCAAGGGAAGGAATCAACCTCGTCGGTCGTCTAGTTGCTCAATTTAGTGCCAATGTGATCTACTGCGCTTGTTTGGGGTTTAATCTTATTTTGCCCGGGGAGTTCTCCGCTAAATCCTCGCAAGCTGCAACCAGTGGCATAAACCTCAAATAGCAAACCAACTGTACGTATCTAGGCAGGTAAATATGGGAGTATGTAAGAAAACCACGGGGAATATCATTCAGGGTATGCAATGCTATGGACATCCTACTATACATCTGTGTGGTGTCCCATCTTGCCCGAGATACGCAGCATGTATTGTAATAGACGCACTATACCTCATCTCTTTGCCATCTGTCCGGTATCTTCCAGTTCGACAATGCTGTCTGTTATCTATCGTTATACCCGTCGTCATACTTGAGAAATTGAGCAGATCAGGGGTTCGTTAGTAGTTGGGGAGGGGGGGGGGCTCGCACTACCGATGACACTCGGATATGTGTGCTCTGCTCTTATGAAGAGCCTGAAGGAGAAATGTAGTCAACGCGGCTTAGCGCAATACCCCATCACTCTTCAATCAAGCGGCCGTCCGTCATTATTCAGCAGTCCTCCTCCATAGATCCCGCATCTGCAAGAACCCTGGAATGCAGGCAAGGGCGCCGATTGTCGTCTCGTTGACCAGGCCCTGTTCCAGACTCCAATGTAGGGTAAGCGGTGCCCAGGCCATGTTGCGGATGACACTCTTGCGCCAGGTCTCTGCCCATTCCGACTCTTCGCGTTCCATAATGGCGACACTTTTGTCATTGGCGAACTTCTCAGCTCGTGTGCGTCTGCTGCGCTTATGCGCCTCGTAAAACAGGCGTCCGATCTCGATGCCGACAAACGAGCCCCAGAAGCGTGCGCTCCACCGCGCCATTTTGCCCTGGGTCGCGGGCGCAAAGCCCAATACGCCCTTCGACGATAGGTATGATGCGTTCTCCAGCGCTTGGAATATGACGCAGGCAACTAGTTGTGCCCAGGAGATAGATCTTTCCAGTTTATCGGCGGCCGTGTTTGCGGCACTCTCTCTGGGCTGTCGGAGTGCAAGCACCAATCGGCGCGCCCAGAAGTACATGCTCAAGAGCCCCCATAATCTGAGGATTGTGCGAGCCTCACTTGTCAGGACGCTGAGAGCCTTGAGGCGGTTCGAAATCGTGAGAAGAATGGCCACACTGGGTGAAGGGAGGACCTTGGAGGAGAAGATGAGGGTGGCCGAAGGCGGGAGAGCATTTGCGATAGCGAGGATCTTGTTAGCGCTCTTCTGGATGGCGGGCTGCGTGAGGGAGTTGAGGAGGGCGGCACTAAGGCGAGAGGTGTAGCAGACGAAGAGGAGGCATGTATCAATACCCGATGGCGTCTGCAGACAGCGCTGCAAGTGTGCAAGAAAGGCGTCGGCGTTAGATGGTGTCGCAGCGATGAGATCTCGGAGCGGGAAAGGTTTAGGCTTTGGTGGAGGGGCGGCCGATGACGGCACCGGCTGGCCCGACGGCAAGTCTGTGGTTGAGGTGTCGACTTCGGTCGCGGACATATTGCTCGCAGTGTTCAAAGTAGCTTAAAGTATGCCCGGGATGAAAAGAACGATGAACCTCGATGCTGTTATTACTAACGTAAAGCGTGTTCGGATGTTTTTTGTGTCAACAGTAAAACGGCAGGTGTAGGACGAGTGAATGTGTGTGTTTTTTTTTTTTTTTTTTTGCTCCAGGCTGTTTACAAATGACGGAGAAGCTGATGAACGTCTCACCAAAACAATGTGAACTGAAATGGGTACCGCGTGGGGTAATAAATATATGTAGGTCAGGAAATCAATGGACAGTAAAGCTTGGGAAAGGCGACACCTTCATGCGACGTGGTTGACGAAGCCCAAACTTAGGCTGGCAATCTGGCTGCTGTCGACCAATGCCGCCCCTATCGAGAAGACTGCTTAAGTAGGTACATACTTTACTTATTACCTTACCTCGGCACTCTCGTTCGGAGACTTGCGACACGGTAAAAAGAGCAGGTAAGGGTAAGGCCTGTGGATGTCTCATTGTTGCAGCCGAAATCTCACCGCCTTCTCCTTCTGTCATGGAGTATTCTAGGTACCTAGTAGGTACCTCTTCCAGCACACGCACGCCACAGCCAGACAAGGTTCCTCTCATGACATCGTGCCATCTTCACTTCAACGATGATATACAATCGAGTTTTACTGAGCTCATCTGTCTCCCATCTTGGATAAATGCTCTGCGCGTCGAGATTCAGGTCGCAGGCTTCCCAACCATGACCTCGAACTGGCAGTAGGTATTGGTAAGTAGATGCTGGCATGAAACAATCACTTCCCTGGGAGTTTCCAGCTCTCACTTCAGTGAAGAATGAGGCCATGAGACCAAATCGTGGTCTTAAGACATGGGCACTCATTGCCTTATGCCTCGAGTTTTGCTCTTTTCTTTTCCTCTCTGTCTCTCTTACCAGATCGTCAGGCTCCCCTGTTCATCCATACATTCTCTTAGTCGACGACTTGACTGGGGAGGTCTAAGGTAGGTATAGACTCATAGCTTAATCACCCTCAGCCTGGGAGGGCTGACGTATTTCTTTTCTTTGACAAGCTGCTGGATAGACTTATCAATATCACCCTGCTGGCTCGAGTTTCTGTATCCTAGACGCAGCTCCATATGCGGCCATTGCCTAAGGTATTTGATGCCAATATCTTAGTCTCAGACCTTCTCTTGGTAATAAGACCAACGACCTTTCAACCCAGCAAAGACTCCGCTCATGCTGCCATTGTGGCCTGCCTCTTCGTTCTATTGTACACTATTCCATACACTCTTGGCTCAATGGATCGTTGTCATGACAAGCATAACCTACTCAGGCAGCGGCGGATTGGCCTGAGCTCATTGTGGCTTCAGCAACACATACAGGTAATAGAAGAGAGCTGCCCGTTAAATACAACTTCCTCGCCCCCTTCCCTTCCGATTTTCCTTTCCAACCGAAAAGCTACCAACCTGGCGCTCCACATTCGACAACTACACTGCGGCAGTTATGAAAAATGGCGGAGGTAGTGGAAGCAATCGCTACCGCGATTGACCTGGTCAAGACTACCTATGAGCTTGGCAATACACTTGTTGATGCATGTTACTACGTTTCGACTAATCATGAGACGAACGAAACAGGTCGTGAGATACGCGATGTCACAATGCTCTATCTGATGGAGCTTCGTACCCTGTGGAAAGTTCTTGAGGAGTATCCTGGTTACAACGAACCTCTTGATGAGCTAGTTGACCCGGAAGGCGCCCTCCATCAGTCGCGCAAGATTATCGAGAAGCTGACGAACTTACTTGCTGCCCAAAACACCGATTCGGGGTCAAGTAGGGAACTCATCATGCAGAGGATGAGACGCCTCACATTATCCGATTGGTCAAAGACGGAGATCGAAGCTCGGAGGCTACTCCTTGAACTGCGTCGCTGCAAGCAGTCCATCAAGACAATAATAGATACAGCTGTTCTGTGAGATCTCCACCATTCGAACATTGGATCGATATTTACTATTACTAACGGCCCGTTTCAGGAGTGAACTAGGCAACATCAAGACTATAGTGCAAGGAAACGCGGACGGTCTTCAGAAGCTTAACAGCACTCTTGATGGTAAGAAGATACGTACTTTAAAGGACTATGCTAATAGACCACAGAGTATGAACGGCGAAAAGAGGTCAACTCATTGCGTCTCCCCGAGTCGGACCAGCGTAGCTTTCACGATGAGAAGAAGAAGCTTCAAGAGCCAGAAACTTGTAAATGGATCAGCAGCGATCCAAAATTCCGAGGATATCTGAACGGGCCATCGAAGTCTTGGGAAAAGCGGAAGCTGCTCTGGGTGCACGGTATACCTGGCGCCGGAAAGACGGTGCTTGCCTCTAAAATGATTGAACTTGCTGCGTTCCATTGCAAGGGCAAAGGCTACGCTTATTATTACTGTCTTTATAGCCGGGCCCAGGATGAGACACATTCATTTCTAAAGTGGACAGTCAGCCAGCTGTGTCGACAAGCTGGCCACGTCGTGCCCACTAAGCTTCATGAGGCTCGTCAACTCGGGGGAGACATTCTGGCGGATGAACTCCTCGATTGCTTACAGGAGATCTCGGCACTGTTCGAACATGTCTACATAATTGTTGATGCTGTTGACGAGAGCAGACCCAGAGACAAACTCATTGATGTCTTGATGACGATCGGTACTACAGAACGATTTTCCAAAGTGTCCTTACTATTTACCAGTCGTCAGGAGATCGACATTGTCCGAGCCGTTGACCGCTTCGGCGACGCTTGCACAGATATCTCCATGGCGAACAATAGCGTACGAGAAGATATCCAGAAGTACGTTCGCGGACAACTCGAACGTGCATCTGAGTGGAGCGAATGGCGCAGATGCGACAGCGAATTCCTTTCCGAAATAGAGGAACAGGTCGCAAAGCAAGCACATGGAATGTCAGTACCGATGGACACACTATGGGCGCGCAACTGATCATTATTCACTGATAATCACAGGTTTCGCTGGGCTGTGTGCCAGCTCGATGTCCTCAAACGTAAGAGGGACAAAGAGAGCATCCGTGAGGCCCTCAGGAAGCTGCCCAAAGATATATTCGATACTTACCAACGTATCCTTACTGATATTCCTGAGCGGGATCGCGAATTTGCTCGAACTGCTCTGGCATTGATCTGTAGTGATACTGCTCACATTCCAACCGCGGAGGTGCTTGTATCGGCGTGCCTGTACAACGTTCCGTACGGCGATGTCAACATCTATAGTGTCAATACGCTGAGTGAGATTTGCGGCTCTCTGATCACCCTGTCGCCGCTGCAACACATCCCCGACTCTGCTTTCAACCGAGACTATGAAGAAGACCCCGAGTTCCATCGGGTCGTTCTTGCTCACTACACCGTCAAGGA